TTACTAACCTAATTACTCCGCTAATATAAACTATAGAACTACTCTAAGGTTTATCCCTTAGAAACAGCTAACCTATAGTGCCTATAGGACCCGGTTCGTTATACTAATTATAAAGTAAAGTATTTAAATATTTAATTTAATTACTATAGTAATAATAACTAGCTATTTAAGTATTTTAATAAGTAATATAAAGTAAACTTATATACTTAGTTAACTAAGCTAAATTATTACTAAGTAGTAATAATCCTATTATAAATTATTTTAAAGTTTTAATAATTTATTTATAAATCGTTAAATTATTAAATAATCTAATAATCTATTCTTAATTAATTAGTTAGTCTAATATTTATCTAAGACCAGCTACCCTATAGGCCTACTATTATAACTATAAGAGTTAGGTCGTAACACTAGAAGTTTTTAATTTTATTTTATTTTTTTTCTTTTACTTATTCCTATTAGCAGTTATTTATTTTAATTACTATTTACATAAAATTAATAAAGGGAATTATGTATTATTCTAGCTTAGAGAGCTTATCCTTAATGTTATCTTTTATACTATAGTAATAAATATTTTTTTTAGTTTCCTAAGTTTAATTAACTTTAGATAAAAGGCATAGAAAAGTAAATATATATTTACTTAGTAGTTTTTTTTATTTAATAAAGTGGAGTTTTTACTTAGCTTTTTATTATTTATTTACTATACTAAAGGAATTCTAAAGCTATATTTTAAATTCCTTATAGTTAATATATATTTCTTTAGTCTATATTTTAAGCTTTTTATAGTTATTTTAGCTTTTATTATAGTTTTACTTAATAGGTTGAAACTATAATTTAGTATCTTTAGTAAGGTAGTTTTTTATAAAGATAACTTTATATTTATTATCCTTTAGTATATAAGGGAAGTATCTAAAGTATATTATAAGTTCCAAAAAGAATTTATTTATTTTACGTAGGTTACTATTAAAAAGTTCTAGCTTAGTTAGTTTAAGGACTTTACCTTTTTCTCTTAAATTATCTTAAAAATCTTAGAGTTAAGCCTTAAGGGTATTAAACTTAGCTTTTATTTTATTATAGCTAGCTTAGTTAACTATATTTTTAGTGAAGATTAGTTTAATAATCAATGAACAACTTGGCAAGGTAAATGGATTGGATTTAGACAGTTTTATTATAAAAAAATGAAGCAAGCAGGCAAGCGGGTTATCAGTTCGACGCGGGTAAGCATACAATACTAGCATATTTAAGGGCAGCGGGAATAAAAATTAAAGTGTTGATTATATATTAACTTGGAGTTTAGATATATTCCAAGATGCAAACACAGTCCAATACCACATAACTCCAACCAATATATTAAACTCTTTACAGCTGAAATAAATAGCCCAGTGGGTAAAGAGAGTGCAAAAAGTATTTAATTGATTATTTACTATTCAGTTCGGCGTGTAGCTTATAAGGAAAAGTCCATCGCTCGACGTTTTTCAAGGTAAGAGAACACAAAACGTTACAATTTCCATTTTAGGTTAGCCGAGTGGTACATTTGCCTTATTGAACCTAGCGCTTTTTAATCTACTTTAGTTGCTCATTCGAGAAAACAAGACCCCAAACGCGCGTCAACCTTCGCCTACGTCCGTTATTGTTGACGAACACATATAAACCGAACAAATCACAAACCAGATTGATGGATCAACCGAATCCGAAGAACACAGCAGCAATACTGATTTTGATGGCTTTGCAGAAGGTAATGCAGTGGAATATAATTGCGGTCTTTATCTTAATGACGAGCCGATTCCCTCTAGCGAGGAGCCTGATGTTAGGGTGGAAACCCAAATTCCCCAAGCAACTGCTGCCCTCCCTCCTACAGCATTGGCACACTTCCTTACTGTGTTACTCAAAGTTCCCAATGTTTCTCAAGCGATCTTAGATTTTCCCCTAAATCATCCTCTCGAACAGCATAATGATGATTCATCGTTGGATCTTGGCGGCCTATCTATCAGCGGAGGCCTTAACTATATTACGGCTGAACTCGGCTCTGAGGTCCTAAATATCCTTGCCAGTGGTTCAGTCAAAGAGCCAGAAATAAGACTCTCTTCTGAAAAGCTACGATATATATACACTGGGTTAAGGAAAGAATATGGATATTCACCCCGACCCCGTATTAAACCCGCCAAAGACTGCGCCCAGGAACCTACTTTAGGTTCGGAATTTGATATTAATAGCCTCGTCTTAATCAACTATTGTCTTAATATTCTTCGGGCAGATTATTCCATGGTATCCTACACAAGGCCTTCTCAGTGTCTTTACCACCGACATACATCTACAACTAACGCAGGTCGAATTCTACAACAGCTATGGCTATTACCATAAGAAGTCCGTTCTAATTTATTATATCCCTAACTATTACTTTACCCATTAATCTAGTATATATTATATAACTATTTACTAAGGTTTCCCCTATTTATATTTACCACTAACGGACTCTGTATACGCAGGTCGAAGACTTACGCATAAGAAATTCCAGCATTAGACTAACCGGATTTTACTACTAAGTATCAAAGGAAGTTTACCTGCCAGTCCTTTGTAATATTTCTCTGCCACCTATAACTAAGCTTATTATAATAGCCGAGCGAAATTTATTAAAGTACAGTTTTTTATTAACGCTGTACGGCGATAACAAAATCTGCAATACGAAATACCCGCAGAGTATCTTAGTCTAATTCAACAGGCTATTTAGCGACGTATCCAGGAGCCAGGTAACTAAGAGTTTAGAAATGCACTTCTGGTCGTTATTAGCAAAGGCCTTAAGCTTTAAAGATGGAAGATACTACGTTGGAAGGCTACAGTTAACTAATTTTGGTGTTGGTTGGATTATTTCTTTCACATAGATATGTTGAATGAATACTACACCTATATTGATGTCGGCGTTGAGACTGTGCCAACTTCTGATCTTACCTTCATGTGGCGTCGTGATTTTCTGGAATATTTCGCTCGTTGCTTCCATGCATGTGCAGAAGATGATACTAAGACCACCCCGAATATCCATCCAATGGGCTTCCTTCGAAATATCTGCAACTCAACGATACAAATTTCAATTTCATCTCGCCTTCGGCAACTGGGGCTCTCTTACGCACAACACTACTCTACTCCTAAGGAAGCCTTTGCTGCTGGAAACACATATCCTTTCAGCAACGAAAACTTATCGAGCCTTTCATTAAATAGCCGTGTGACAAAAGTGTTACAATATGTTGGCAAGGCCGTAAGTGTTACACCCGAGGTTCTTGCACGTGCCTATATCCATAGTAAGGTCCGTTGCCATCATAGCCTTACGGCCGTGGCAAAGAGAGCTTTTGGATGCCGCTGGGAATGTCGCGTGACACTGGCACTTTTACGTCAGATCGACCAATGAATGCGTTACCCTAACGAGATTCAACTCGTGCATCACACTTTTAAACCTGGCGCATGGGTTGCACATGAGACGAAGATAATCACTCAATGGTATCGATTCAATCTGAATAAGCTCTGTTATGGTTTCGAACTGATTTACGGCCAGTGTCAAAATCATCAATATATCGCTTGGGAACACACACGTATTATGTTACTTCTGCTTCAATGCATCACTTGCTTCACTGGGATGGGTATTCCTGGATGCACCCACATATAAGGCACGACCAAATTGAATTGCGTCAACAAGCTGCGCAATGTAACCAACCCACCTATGTTGCAGCCACTCACCCGCCTCAGCACGGGCTGGGCATAGGCTTTAACATGGAGAAACACGGTTATGGGTGGTTTTTGGACAAAATTGACTGGGTCAATCTTGTTATTCGTCCTGAGTTTTCCGGGTCGTTTGGTGTGCAAAATGTGAGCTTGTTAACTGCTTTTAAACGCCACTATCGGTCCCTTCGCACCAGTTTTGACGATTATGTGTTTATTACGTCGCTAAGTGCCCAGTTAACAAAGTGGAAACATTTCCATGATCACATTATCTTTATTGGTCAGGTCCTCCGTGCAGTTTGCATTCGGGCCTTTCACAGAGATGTACTCCAGGTGCTAGAACCACATTTTATTCGCCAAAATCACAGATCCGCTTTTGAAGGAAAGATTGGCCTTTCCCTTGACTCTTTGTAACAGGTTCTGCAGCCAACATCTTCTATCCGAGCCATATACGGAAAGAGGTGGAAAATACAAACCTTTCTCACTCTATTTCAATGGCTATGGGGTTCTGACGATGCCTATCAACGTGGTCCTTGGAAGAACCTCCCATACAGGCTGCTTCACTCACTAAGTTCTTCCATGATTACTGGTGTGCTAGGAAGCGAACACACTCGCATGTGGGAGAGGCAGTTTAAGGACCATATCCGAATTAATTGCTGGCTAATGCCCTATCCATCTGGTACTAGCCTAATAAGTCATCGACGTGATGCAGCCGGCCAAATTGAGTTTAAATGGTGGTCAAATTACACCGAGAACTAGAAAGGCATCTCATTCTCGATGTTAATAAGCTAGTTATATGCCAGAACTGGCCATGTTGGCCAAAGGCGCGTTGGAATGCAACACAAGAAAGTCGTAAGTCTCTTATTTAAATGAGCTCCAATGTTATAGCATAGGGTCTGACTATTAATAGGAGTTATGCGGGGACGGCTGGAGCCAGATACTGAGTTAGCATACCTAACAATTTCGGAGATGAATGACCGTCTGCAGCAAATGCCGGCCGATAGGCATAATCCTGCCAACACGGACGCAACATCTGCTCACGAAGAAGCTTGCCCCGACACTTCTCCCAAGGATCAGTGGTTTGTAAGACCTACCGGTAACTCTGTAAATATTGAGCAAGAAGGTGCACTTCGAGAGGATTTAAGTCAACCAATTAGTATCTGCCGTCGTTCTACGTGTTCGTATTATGCAAACTAGGACACGCAAATGAGTACACACGGAAGTTTTTCTTCGTTCCGATTATATGACCAACAGGAGAAATTGTCGAAATTAGACCAGGATGACCGGCGCATAGCAACATCTATTGTGCAAAGAATCGCCAGTAATCTTGTGATAATGCCGTGGGATGATGTATTATATCGAAGAGAACAGGAAGTAAAGAACAAAATTCGGCCAAAACCCCGAATACCGTCCGAGAATTAAAATGATATATAGTAGGAATAGACTCATGTAATGGTATGGAAAATTCCCTACGGGTATGAGATTATTGAATCACCTATGATAATTAGCCAGTCCGTTCTGCTGTGTAGCTTTGCAACGCCCTATTATTTTGCATTAAGATGTCGCTTTCGGAGCCTAGGTTGGTAACGACATCGAGATCCCTTACCACTCTTACGGAGCTAAAGTAAGGACGCTTGCCGTAATGTCAGCCGATGCTGTTTTTTTAAGCCAATCCCAAGCTTGACAGCACAAAGAGCTTAAACAAAAACAGCGCCCAGCCATTTATTAATCAGTAACCCGCTACTATATAGGGATAAAGTCCATTAATATTATATTACTACTATTTTTCTACCCAAAACTACTATAGCCTGCCTAAGGGCTTATATTATATACTAAGAGGCCTGTGTAATAGTTTTCGTTATATACTATAGGTAGTAATTATTAAATTAAGCCTGGTTGGTAAGTCCTTTTAGATATGCTGGTGTAATAGTTTATATTAAATAAATAGTATATATAATATTTTAGTATAGGTAAACTAATATAACTAGAATATATAATATACGTTTATTACTAGCTAAGTAATAATTAATTTTTACTTTAATCTAAGATCCCTACGATGTAAATTATTAGCGGTAGTGTTAGCGCCAGCATATAGTATAGAAAAGCAAGCTTTTAGCTTAAGAATTATTACATCGGTAGTATACGGGCGGAAAAGCAGTATGTAGTATAAATTAAATAGGAGTATAAGTTACTTTATTATATAGTTAATTAGTATTTCTTAATAACTTTAAGAAATATTATTTTAGCCTACTAAGTAATTTAATTAGTAATATAAGTAATTTTTTTTCTTTCTTCTTCTTTTACTAATTTATAAACTAAATAATATTATAAATATAATCCTTAAATAATATTTAATAAGTAAATTCTTTAATATTTTATATAATAATAGGTCTACTGTATTATCCTAAACTATAATATTTATCTATCTTCTTTCTTTATATAGACTAAAGAAGTTATTATAAATCTAAGCCTTATTATATTTACTTATTTACTTTAATAAAATATTTTAAAAAGAAGGTAATAGGAATAGGTTAATTTATAAATAGTAATATATCTACCTTTATAAGGAAATTAAACGTAGGCTTAATAGTAAACTACCTCTTAGTAATATATTAAGATTAAATAAGGAAAGGATATTATAACATAGGGCTTTTATTATAAAATCTAAATAATTAGTATTAAAGTTTATTATATAAAAAATATTATACTATATAATAAATAAAAGCTTTTTATATTATAATATATATTAAGTAACTTTATTAATAGCTTATTATTATAATATAAAGATAAACTTATATTATTTAGTTAGTAATAAGTTATAAAATTTTAATTATAATCCTAAATTTTAAAATTAACTTAGGTTCTATAGTATAAAACCTTATAAAGCTTAGTTTAGTTTCAACTTATATTATATATAAAAAACCTATTATTACAATCTAAACTAATAAAAGGTATAAAGGAAAAGTACCTAAAATAATTATTAACTAAATAACTAATTATAAAAAGAAGTAATAAAAATCAGCGCTCCTATAATTAAAGTAACTTATATAAATACTTCTAATATTTTAAAAAGTAATAAGTTATAGTACTCCTTATAAAATAACTAAATATATAAAATTTAATTTTTTATACTTTTTAAATAACTTAAATAAATAATTATTAATAAAGTATTAAAATTAAATATAAACTAAATTTTTATTATATTTTATTTACTTTATAATTATATTTACTTAAAGCTA